CCATTTAGGATGATGTTGGTTGTTGGCTTTGCATAAGTGCCCTTAATTATGTTGAGGAATTTCTCTTCTATTCCTATTTTACTGTGAGTTTTTATCATGAATGGGTATTGGACTTTGTCAAATTCCTTTTCTGCATCAATTGATAAGATTATGTGGTTCTTTTCTTTTGTTTTATTTATGAGATGGATTACATTGATTACTTTTCTAATGTTGAACCATCTCTGCATACCTGGTATGAATCCCACTTGGTCATGTGAATTATTTTTTTGATATGTTTTTGAATTCTATTGGTTAGGATTTTGTTGAGGATTTTTGCATCTATGTTCATGAGGGATATTGGTCTGTAATTTTCTTTTTTTTTGTGTGTGTGTCTTTACCTGGTTTTGGTATCAGGGTTATGCTAGCTTCATAAAATGAGTTTGGGAGTATTCCATCTTTTCTAAACTCTGTAATACCTTTAGTAGTAGTGGTGTTAACTCGTCTCTGAAAGTTTGGTAGCATTCTCCGGTGAAACTGTCCAGGCCAGGGCTTTTTTTTGCTGGGAGTTTTTAAATTACATTTTCAATCTCTTCTTTTGTTATAGGTTTATTTAGTTGTTCTACCTCTGTTTGTGTTAGTTTAGGTAGGTAGTGAGTTTCTAGAAATTTGTTCATTTCCTCTAGGTTTTCAAATTTTTTAGAGTACAACTTTTCATAATATTCTGTTATGATTCTTTTAATTTCAGTTGGGTCTGTTGTGATACTGCCCATCTTGTTTCTTATTCGGGCTGTTTTCTTCCTCTCCTGTTTTTCTTTTGTCAGTTTGGCCAATAGTTTATCAATTTGTTGATCTTTTCAAAGAACCAGCTTTTGATCTTGTTAACTCAGTTGTTTTTCTATTCTCTAGTTCATTTAATTCTGCTCTAATTTTTATTATTTCCTTTCTTCTGGTGTCTGAGGGCTTCTTTTGCTGCTCTCTTTCTCTTTGTTCTAGTTGTTGGGTTAATGTTTTGATTTTGGCCCTTTCTTCTTTTTGGATGTGTGCATTTATGGCTATAAATTGACCTCTGAGCATGGCTTTTACTGTGTCCCAAAGGTTCTGGTAGGATGTGTTTTCATTCTCATTTGATTCTGTGAATTTCTGTATTCCATCCTAAATTTCTTCTTTAACCCAGCAGTTTTTGAGCAAGGTGCTGTTCAGTTTCCATGTGGTTGATTTTTTTTCCTTGCTTTTTATGTTATTGATTTCTACTTTTATGGCTTTATGGTCAGAAAAGGTGCTTTGTAATATTTCGATGCTTTAGATTCTGTTAAGTCTTGCTTTTATGGCCTAATATGTTGTCTATTCTGGAGAATGTTCCATGTGCATTGGAAAGGAAAGTATATTTGGATTCTGTTTGGTGGAGTGTTCTGTATATGTCTATGAGGTCAAGTTGGTTGATTGTGGCATTTAGATCTTCTGTGTCTTTATTGAGCTTCTTTCTGATGTTCTGTCCTTCACCCAAAGTGGTGTGTTGAAGTCTCCTACTATTATTGTGATGCTGTCTCTCTTTTCAGTGCTGTTAGACTTTGTTTTATATATTTTGGAGCCCTTTCGTTTGGTGCGTAAATATTTATCATAGTTACTTCCTCCTGCTATATTGACCCTTTAATCATTATATAGTGTCCTTCCATATCCAGTGTGGTGAATTTTACTTTAAAGTCTGTTTTTTCAGAGATTAATATTCCCACTCCTGCTCTTTTTTGAGTGTTGTTTGCTTGATATACTTTTTTCCATCCTTTGAGTTTTAGGTTGTTTGTAGCTTCAAGTCTAAGGTGTGTCTCTTGTAGGCGGCGCATAGATGAATAATGTTTTTTTATCCATTCGGCCACTCTCTGTCTCTTTATTGGTGCATTTAGTCCATTTACATTCAGTGTAATTATTGATAGGTATGAGTTTAATGCTGTCATTATGAAGTCTTTTTTTGTGTGTTATTGACAGTTTCTTTGTCCAGTTAATTTTCTGTGCTAAGTCATTTTTCTTTATGTGTTTTCTTCTCATTTTTGTTGATTTTGTATTTGCTGGGTCTTTATGTTTTTCTTGTTTTTTATTTTGATGTGTAGGATCGTTAGTTTCCTTTGTGATTACCTTAGTATTTACCCGTATTTTTCTAATTTTAAACCAGTCTTTTATTTCTTTATGTTGCCTTGTGTTCCTCTCCATATAAAAGATCTATGACTGCATTATTTAGTCCCTCTTTTTTGTTTTAATGTTGTCGTCCTTTACATACTGACATCTCTGTTTCCCTGTTTTCAGCTTTGATTTCTTTTTGTGTCTTCTCTATCTGGGTTGGTATCTGATTGCCCTGTCCTGTGTTCTAGTCTTGGGTTGTTATCTGATGTTATTGATTTTCTAGCTGGAGGACTTCTTTTAGTATTTCTTGTAATTTTGGTTTGGTTTTTGCAAATTCCCTAAACTTCTGTTTTTCTGGAAATGCCCTGATTTCACCATCATATTTGAGAGACAGTTTTGCTGGATATATAGTTCTTGGCTGGCAATTTTTTTTCCTTCAAGACTTTATATATGTCATCCCATTGCCTTTTTGCCTGCAGGGTTTCTGCTGAGTAGTCCAAGCTTAGTCTTACTGACTCTCCTTTGTAGAAGACTTTTCGTTTATTCCTAGCTGCTCTTAAAATTCTCTCTTTATCTTTGGTTTTGGCAAGTTTGATTATAATATGTCTTGGTGACTTTCTTTTGTGATCTACCTTATGTGGCGTTTGATGAACATCTTGGATAGATATCTTCTCATCTTTCACAATATCAGGAAGTTTTCTGCTAACAAATCTTCACCAAGTCTCTCTGTATTTTTCTATTATTCCCCCCCCACCCCGTGCTGGTGCTTCAGTCACTTATAGGTTATTCCTTTTGATAGAGTCCCACGTAATTTTTAGGGTTTCTTCATTTTTTAAATTCTTTTTTTCTGATTTTTCCTCAAATAGGTTGGTGTCTAGTGCTTTATCTTCCATCTCACTAATTCTGACTTCCATTTCCTCAGTTCTGCTCCTATCACTTTTTATTGAGTTGTCTAATTCTCAAATTTTATTGTATATCATCTGGATTTCTGATTGCTGTCTCTCTATGGATTCTTGCAGCCTGTTAAATTTGTCATTATGCTCTTGTATAACCTTCTTAAGTGCCACTCTTTCTTTGCCTGTGTGTTCCTTGGCTTGTTCTGGGTTTTGTCTGATCTGCTTCCTGATCACTTGAAGATTTCTGTATATTAATCTTTTGTATCTACCTACAGTAATTCCAAGAAGTTCTCTCCATCCATAAAATTTCTCGATTCTTTGTTTTGGGAGCTTGCTGAAGCCATCATGGTCTGCCTCTATATGTGATTTGATATTGACTGTTTATTTATTTATTTAATTTTTGCTTACTGTGTCCTAGCTTCTTGTTTTGTTTTGTTTTGATATGCCCAAATTAGCTGCTCGTGTGAGCTAGTTTGATATTGGTGCCTTTGAAGGCCTAATATCTTGTCACCAGCTGGTTACATCTGTTACTAGGCATGTGAGCCCAGGAGTCATTTACTTTTCTTGTATGGATTCAGCTCAGGTGTCCAGGTAGTCAGTCACCAAGTGTGTGGTCCAAGTTCCCACCCACAGTCCTAGACGAGCAGGTGCGATTGGTGTAGGCACAGTTATCTTGCTGCAGTAGGGGGTCATGCACTGGACAAGGCAGGGGCTGACAGCTGCCACTGAGCCCTGTAGGCTGCTCCTAGTTTTTCTCTATTTCTTTTCCCTGTTAATAACTGTCTCCAAAACCTTCTTTTTCTATTCAGTCAGACACAGATGGAAGATCACAAAACCTACTGCCTAAGCAGATGTTCACTGGGAAATAAGATACCAGATCCCTCCAATCGCTACGTGGTGGACCCGTCTTCCACCAACTTGGCCTTTTCTCACAGAGGTGGGGAAGAAGTATAGCAGCACTCTCTTCTTAGGCCAGTTATTCACTCTTTTGAGCATTTTCTTATGAATTCTTTCCATTCCTCTGCTTTTGTAGGCTAGTGATGTGATGATCTCAAGTTCTGAAGGAAGCCCCTGAGTTGTGCAAATGGTTAAAATGCTCGGCTGCTAACCGAAAGATTGGAGTTTCAAGTCTACCTAGAGGTGCCTCAGAAGAAAGGCCTGGCAGTCTACTTCCTAAAAATCAGCTATGGAAAATACTATGTAGCATAGCTCTATTCTAACACACATGGTGTTTCCATGAGTCAAAATCAAGTTGGCAGCAAGTAGTTTAAGTTCTGAAGGGGATGTCTGATTCTCTTGGCTACTTTTTTTAGAACATGGAAGGATTTGGCCCCCATTGTCTTCAGCTTTGGTGCTTTAGCTCTAATTTAGAGACAACTGGAAAAGTCCCAGTCAACATTCGGTTACACAGACATTATATGATTCAGTCCTCATGAGAAATCTCGGGCTTATCTATTTTATGAGGGAGCAAAGTTAGACTAACTGAGATTAGGTTACTTGTCCAGGGTCGCACAGAGAGAAAATGGTAACACCATGATTTAAATTTATTTCTGTTATTCCCAAATACTTTTTTTGTTATCCATATACCATGCCACCATATACTTGACTGTCCATGATAGAGTTTAAGCTGTGTTTACTTTCAAAATGGTTGAATGCCAATGATCTGTTAATTTTTCTTTTTCTAGGAAACTTCCTTATAGAAACATTATTACCAGCAGGCATAAAACAGTCAAATAGGGATACGTTAGCTAACTGATATATTTTTTAGCTCTCCTCTATTTGTTTTTTTCATACACGATTTTCTTATTAATGACTGCCTCCAGTTCCAGGCCCACATTACTAATAGTGATGTTAATCATAGGTTATACTACAAATTGTGTCTTAACACAACAGTTATTTTAAAATGGGATTACACTGAAAGCATAGACTACTTGTGCTTGTGTGTGTATATATGTGTGCATTTGCAGATGCTTAAAAAAATTTCTCCATGTGCTGATTTTGTTTTCTTCTTAGTTACAGGGATGCAGAAAAGAATTTCCACAATATTTCTAACAGATGCTTCTATGCAGATCATTCCAACAAAGAGGAAATTGAAGACGTCTCAGGAATTCTTCAGTGTACTGCTAATATACTCGGTATAGTAAATATGTATTTATAGGGTTGAGAGAATGAATGAGGGGAAGAGGGGAAAGTAAAGTTGTAAATATTTCATTTGATACCAAAGAGAAGTTTGGAGAATACGGCAAATTGAGATCAAGACCTTGTCTTTCAGTGATTTAATTTTAACCTTCCTGAAGATATTAGAGTAGAAATTATATGCATGCCATTTACTTGGAGGTTGAAAAACATTATAATAAAAATACTTAACATTCTGGGGAAACTTTGAAAAATATTCCTATGTTAGTATTATTATCCTTCTGCAATCCATATTTTCCTGGCTCTTACCCTTAGCTGAAATTGTGGGATATTCTTTTCCTCTCAAAGTTGTATATGATTATATCTGGGAGGCCTGGTTGGGGCTGGAGGGTCACTCACATGTGCTACAACTCTGAAACCCGCTTCTGTGATGACTGTGTCAGTGAGGTAGGTCATCTACTGAGGTCTCTGTGCCCTCCTAGGGAATGTCCGCTGTAAAGATGTTAGTATTTATGGCAGATAAATACTCCTAGCATAGCCATGGGGTACTGCCATGAACTGCTCTCGGTCATGCAGCCTTAAAGTACTGAAACTGAGCTGTACTATATGAAATTGTTGGAATATGAGAGCTTCACTATATTATATAAAAAGTAGATACCAAAGGAGGATTTTTTTTTGTTGTTGTTGTTCTGATGTTTTACATAGGTTTTTAGTGAGCAATACCTTTTTCTTTTAAGTCTTTCTGAAGTTTTCTGTTTCCTTGTGACTCAGATGGAAGCCTAAGTGGTGCTGGGAAGGGGTGGGGAGCAACAAATCTTAATGACAGACTCCATACGAAACTGAAAATCACCAGAGATGATCAGGTGATGGAGACTGGGGCTCTATTAATGGGCAAGCTTGTTTGTATGACTTTCTTGCTCTTTAGGAGTCTCTCATACAAGCAGACTCTAGCTGGCCTCAACCCATGTATGTATCAGATTTTGTTAAACATTTCTGACTCTCAGAGGTGGACCTAGCCTTTACACTTAAGCTGGGTCTTCAGCTATCCATTTACTATGTTTTTATCCTAGATAACTTTTGTAAACATATATTGGAATAAGAACATGAGCTTTTTTGAAGGAAGGAATATAGATATAGGTGATTTGCCTGTAATAACATGCCAGACATGATGGACAGTGAGAGGGAAGGCAAAAGATTCATTTACCTCAATCAGATTAGAACTGTTGTTGTGTGCCGTCATGTTGATTCTGACTCATAGCGATCCTAAAGGACAGAGTAGAACTGCTCTGTAGACTTTCCTAGGCTGAAGTTTTTACAGGAGCAGATCACTACCAGGCCATAAAACTACCCCAATAAAGTACATTCTTGGAGAAAATGAGGAATGAGAATAAAGGAGGAATAGAGTTGAGGCATTACCCAAGAGCTGTTTACAGTTTTCTGACTTTGTGTTTTCAAGGGCTTTCCTTGAAAATAACACCAATTTCTCTCGACACACTATGATTTTGAAGGGGTGGGGTGAGGTGATGTTCCCTCCCTCCCAGGATAAATGTATCAGAATCTTAGGAGAGGGATGTTTAATGTTTTGAAAAAATTGCTTCTTAACTTACCCAGTTTTTAAATGTTTCCCTGCCCATCAAAACCCTTTTCCTTACATTCTCCACCTTGAGAATCACTGAGGCAGAGGGAGAAAGGTGTATAAGAAGTGTGCACAATCCCCCATAGGGAGGACAAACCCCAGGTTAGACACATGGTAACCATCAGGTGTCCCTGTTGGCCAAGCACAGCTTAGTTGCCCTGCAAAAGGTGTCATGATACGCAGATAAGAAGTGAGTGAAAAGAGCAGCAGGCAGTCTGCTACCCAATGATATTAGGGGAAGAGTATTTTTAAGCTAAGTGCTTATATCTAGAAGGTGACGGTAAAGCAGGTTTTGGATTTCCATAAATGTTAAGTTTTTCTAGGAAAGAGATAATAAGTCGATTTTTTCTCTAAGTAATGCTGAGTTGTTCTCAAGATTTAAAAAATACAAACTTGTAAAATTTAAATTTCTGTAGAATAAAACAAAATGCCTTCTATCTGTTGACCAGATGCTGCCCATGGATACAACATGGTTATATGTTTAAGAGGTAGCTGATGTCCTTTGAATAATCTCCTTTTATAACTCTTGAAATATAGACTCTCTGAGGACAAAGACAGCAGCTTTACTAGTCATATTCAACGAGAGCTTTGTTTTTTAACAAGTAATTGAACTACGAGTAATCTTGCTTTGCTTATATTTCATCTTTTTTAAAAAGTTATATTTAAATTTTCTAGTGCCATCATTAGGAGCCCTGGTGGCACAGTGGTTAAAGTGCTTGGCTGCTAACCAAAAGGTCGGCAGTTCGAACCCAGTAGCTGCTCCACGGTAGAAATGTGTCAGTCTGCTTCTGTAAAGATTTACAGCCTTGGAACCCCTATGAGGCAATTCTGCTCTCTCCTATAGGGACGCTATGAGTCAGAACCAACTTGAAGCAGTGAGTTTTGGGTTTTGTGCCATCATTTATGGGAATGCAAAAATTAACTCACTGAACAGAAAAACTCTATACATGAAAAGGAAGCCTTTTCTTGGGGAGGGGGGTGTAGAGAAACAGAGTTTCAACCAGCTTAAGAGAAATTTGGATACTTGGGAGCCTTCTCTTTGGAGACCAGATACCAATTTTCCAACTCTATGATTTATATTTATTATCATTAGGGAGTGTAGTTAGAATAGTAGTGGATTAGGATTGTTGAATATATATTTCTTTCACCTTCTTAACCTGTTAAGGGTTGTAGTAGAGACTAGAAAGTTGTTTGTTTGGTCACTCATTTGTATGCTATTTATACTTCACCTACCATCAGAAAAGATTTGAAGTCATGGGTCAGAAAATATGATCAGAGTAGCAAATTTTTCTTCTTCAAAAATGACCATCTGTATCCACTAAGTATCAATTCCTCTAGATAGTTTTTATCATTTACTGGCTCTTCAGATTTAGGTTTGAATTCTGCAGTTGGCATGGAATAAAAAAGGGGACCTGAGGAGAGAGGGAAAACAAGTTGCTGGAGATCAGTTACGCTTCTATAGTGTATTTGTCCACTCGCCATCTCCTTATGACTCCTTGGAAACAGATGGTACTAAAGAGTGATTCACGTCCCGCGAGTAATGGGAAAGAACTATTTCCAGATATCAACATTTTTGCCATTTATTTCTCTTTTGTTGGTTCAGAAACTAGTTGTTTCTATTTTCTAACTCATCTTTTAGGAATGAAGGGTATTGAGTACAGGCGGCTCCTTATCACCCATTTCACCTCATTTTGGTGCTTGGCAATCACTGTGATAATGCAGAACAGTACTTTAAAGAGGCCCTTGAGACTCTGGAAAAACGCTGTACAAGGAAAGATAGTTGTGAACAATGCTCTCCCGTCTAGAGGCTTTTAGTGTTACATTTACTGTTTTATTTGGTACATAATGCATACCAAAATTATCTTCTAATCTTAGTTGTCTGAAAAATGTAAACCTTTCCTAGACATAGTCTGTAAAGTCCATTTTTAGCTCCAATTAACGAGTAAAAATGTGTTTGTAATTTTGTAAAGCATGGCATTTAGTATTTTCTTGGAAATTGTAATGGTTGAATGGTACAGTGAAGCCTCTCTGTTAAAGCATTAAAGTGCCTATGCTGTTTATTGCTGAAATGTTTCCACCTTATCCTGTGACTTAGGATATGACTTAGGTATAGTTGTGGGGAGAGAGAGAATGACTAGGGAGAGTTAAGGAGCCCTGGTGGCATAGTAGTTAAGAGTTTGGCTGCTAACCAAAAGGTCAGCAGTTCAAATCCACCAGGCGCTCCTTGGAAACCCAATGGGGCAGTTCTACTCTGTCCCATAGGGTCTCTATGAGTCAGAATCAACTCGACAACACACAACAGCAACAACAACAACAGGGAGATTTAGGGAGAAGGATGATAAATTACATAGTCCTCTTTGCCATAATGCAATTTAAAAGAAACAGAGGTTATGACTATTTCTGTTTAATACTATTAAGGGGGTTTGGATATTTTAATTGTCATAGAGATTCAAAACCTACAAGATGGGGTAGATTGGGTAGGAAGAAATCTCAAAGTAGGACAGAGATCAACTAGAAATGAGAGCTCTGGGTCTGCTGTTTTAATAAGCATCATTCGCTTGCTAATTAGTGCACAAAATAATTTTATACTGCCTTTGCTAAATAGACTTTCTCTCAAAACAATCAAGAAAGACATGAATTGTGAAATAATAGATTCATTAAAGTTCTCTCTGCTTTAAAGGTTTTCTATCAGAATGGTACTTTACCTTCTCCAAGAACATACATTTAAAGTCAGAATCACAGCAATATCATCATGGGGTTACTTTTCTCAGAAAGTGCTAGTGAGAAGGATGGAGGAGATGATCTTGGAGGCATAGTCTTCACAATATTTTTCTGGTATCAGGGACTCTGAAATATAGTGAAGTCAGAGCCCTTTCTTTATAAAGTGCCACAGATTCTGTAATCTTTAGCTGGGATGGAGATTTTTGTTTTTGTTGCTTGTTTTTTGACAAGTAATCATTTGTTGCTTACATGTAAACTTGTATGTATTTTTTGGTTTTATTGTAACTTAGAATGTGCATTTAGGAGCCCTGGTGGTGTAGTGGTTAAGAGCTATGGCTGCTAACCAAAAGGTCGGCAGCTCAAATCCACCAGGCGCTCCTTCCTTGGAAACTCTAGGGGGCAGTTCTACTCCGTCCTGTAGGGTCGCTATAAGTCAAAATCGACTCTACGGCAATGGTTTGGTTTGGTACTCAGCAATAAAACTGAAGAATTAGTTAGACTTACTTAGGGTTAAGACTATGAGCACCTTGGGAGGTTTCTTGGGGAGCTCAATCATATACTTGTATAGTGAATTAGAATATATTTAACATCTTGGAGAACTAATTGATGCAATAACTGCTTACTGCTTTATTCTGAACACGA